ATATATATATATATTTCTACTTTCTGAGAGAAGGGAGTGGTCACTTGGGTAGGCATGGTCACATGGAGGTAAGACACTGAATTAAGCATTGGAAGATGGAATAGATTTAGTGGACAGATATTAAGGATCTGCTTTGTGCTAGAGACTATGGTAGGTAGAGGGTACTCAGTGCTGACCAAATAGACACAGTTTCTGCCTTTACAGATCTTACAACCTATCAAAGGAGTCAGACATTAAATAGATAAACAAGTGACAAGCACTATGTAGGATATACATAGTGTGCAGTGACATAAAAATGGTGGCTGTTCTGGATGTAGTGGCACATCACTATAATCAATCCCAGCTATCCAGGAGGCTGAGGCAGGAGAAATGTAAGATCAAGAGAAGCAACTTGGCAAGATCCTGTCTCAAAATAAAATTTAGAGAAGGGTTGGGGATGTGTCTCAGTAGTAGGGCACTTGCCTAGCATAAGCAAGGACCTGGGTTCAATCCCCAGTACTACAACAACAACAAAAACACCAGGCAGCCACCTACTCTGCACTCTGAAGTGAGGGAAGGTAGTGGGTTTGGGTTTTGGCCAGGTGTACCCCGCCTGTGACCAGTGGGAACGGACAAGTCCTCCTCTGGGCCTTCTAAAAACAGTTAGCTTGCCCCCATCCCTATTTTTAAATTTCCTGTAAAAATGAGGATTTTACACTTGCACTCCTAAACCAAATTATTTCTTATTGTTAATGGCATATATGAAAGAGATTTTCATGAAAAACTAGGAGTTAGAGAAGAAACAGAAATTAAATGAACTGCTAGTCAAAATTTCTCCATTTCGCAGAGTGGGTCCCACTCTTCCCCTGACACTGAGTTATTCCTGGGGTTTCAAAGGAGGAGGCTTTGAAAACAATCTGTGAGCTTCTCCTAATTGAAATGAAACACAATGGAAATTGAGTAAAAGATAGATGAGGCGATCAGTATTTCATATAAAAGTATTTTTGATTTATTATATCAATTACATAAAAGCAATGTGTGCTCATAATTTATGAGAATGGAAAAACTTTGGCAAACAGGGCAACTAGCTTTAAAGTTATGAATGTTTGAAGATCTCTATTTGAAATAAGTTTAAAAAATACAATGTATCCTGCTGGATGTAGTGGTGCACGCCTGTAATTCTAGCACTCAGGAGGCAGAGGCAGGAGGAACTGTGAGTTCAAGGCCAGCCTGTTCTACATAGTGGGGCCCTGTCTCAAAACAAAAACAAAAACAAAAACAAAAACAAAAAACCCCAACAACAACAAACAAACAAACAAAAGCACACACACAAAAAACCAAACCCCCCAAATCCTACTGTTTCTTTTGACTTAGCAAAACATTCATTCTTCTCACTTCCAGAGTTAGTCTCCAGTATAAGCCTGGTTGCCCCTTTTAAGAGGCTGGTGTCCATGTGGTGTGCATCTTTACACTTTTTCCCCCCTTTGGGACTCACTACCGATACCAATGATTCCCAAGTAAATCAGTGGCTCCCTGTTAGCAAAAGGAGTACACACTGATTATTCCTTGCGGGGGGGGAGTCACTAATTGAGACGCGACTGAAACGCGTGGTCACCTGCTCTCACGAGGCGCACGGCACACTCGCCGGGGGAAATGCCGTGCAGGTCGCCCTCAGGCCCGATGCACATAGTCGCTGCCACAGGCTTCCCGGACACTTTCAAGGCCTCCACTGCCCACACAGCTTCCTCGACGTGTTCAAAATACTGCAATCAGTTAGGGCGAGAGTGCTTTTAATCACGCTTCCCACAAAACCCTGCGAACACTTATTCTGTTGTCCATTTTCAACACTGCGGAGAATGGAAGGGCAATTTCTCAGTGTGCGTTGCAGCCCAGAGTCTTGAAAAATACTCTGAGAGATTAACTGCATCACTTTTAGCGGGAACCTTAAAGTGGAAAAAGACTGCAAAACATAAATGTTATTGTCATGGTCGGTGCCTGACCCACAGGGACAGCGTGCACGTGCCCTGTCTCTGATCGTGGCTTTGTTTACCTCTGCGATGAGGAAGTCCACGTTCTTCTTCACGAAGACCTGTAACTGCTGCTGGAATATTTTTTTAACTTCAGTTTCACTCTTGCAGCTGAGGTATGAAGGTGTCTGACTCACACCCCCTGCGACCAGGGCGTCCCCCTCGTCAGCCACCTGCCTGGCGATGTCACAAGCCGCTTCATTGACTTTCTCCCCCTAAAAGGAGTGAGGATGGGGTACATTTACCTTTTCATGGGAAACTGAGATTAAAAATTATGACTCAAGTGCCTGCAGCTCAGTTGTAGGCTTATCATTATGATTTTATTCTGGAGAAAGACAGTTAAGGAGCAGCGCAGGGCTTTACCAGGTTGAGTGGCTTGCAAAAGCACCACTGATGATAGTAACAAACCTAGTGGCAGTATCTGGAATGTTACACCAAAGAGCTAGGAGAGGGTCAGGGTTTCTAACTGAAAAGATCTGATCTGGTATCTACCTGAGTTGCATTTAGATGAGCAATTGGCAAATAGTGATGGGAATGATGATTACTAGAATTTGTTTGTTCGGAAAAGGTCTCACTGTGTTACCTGTGTGGCCCCGGCTGACTGAAGTTCTGAACCTCCTGCCTCAGTGGAGGAGTAGCTTGGATTTTACGAGGTGTATGGCAAATGGTCAGCTTTAATTGTCAATAAGATAAAAATTCAATGAAAATGACAACAGAATTCATGACTTTTTGTTCTCACGTTAAATGTATACTTTGTAAGATGTATTCTAATTATTTAGAAAATTTGAAAATTTGACCCCAAGCTGGGATTGATTTTTTTGGTTTGTTTTTGAGACAAGGTCTTTCTGCGCTACTCAGTTTCTGTGCTACGCAGGCTGGCCTTGAACTCCTGGGCTCTAGCACTTGTCCTGCTTCAGCCTCCCAAGTAACTGGGAGTAGAGGCATGCCACTGAGCCCTGCTGGGTTAGGGGTGCAGCTCAGTGGTGCAGCATGTGAGGTATTGTTTGATCCCCAGCATGGCCAAAAACAAAACAAAAAACCCTTCCCTGTGCATTTTGGAGTGCAGAAGGCTCAGTTTTGATAGGGTCAGTGGTTTGCCCAAAAGCTCAGAGCTAACTGCAAAGGCAGACCCCACTCCATGCTCTTGTACTCCTCTGCTTCTGACCTTTCCTATCTACCATGCACAGTAACAAGTGAGTGTGTAAGGGTGCCGTCTTTACTCAGCAACCTCCTCAAGACTGGGAAAATAGCTGATCATTAAGTGATTCCCCTTTAATCTGCTTCATTAAACGCTTTTCTGTTGATTTTAGAGACTCCAGCTAAACCTAGAAGTGTCATTAGCCTGCCACACATTTCTGTAATAGTAGAAGGAGAAATCTAAGAGGCTCCAGGTTTTCTCTGTAAGAATCTGGTGGCCAAGTGTGTGTCTGTGGTGCCCATCAAGGCATGCCAGGCCAGCATACTCACAGATATCTTCTCCGCCACGTAGTTGCCCCTATTCTCCAGCTTGTCCTCACTGGCATAAAAGGTGAAGGTCTGCATGACGTTGGACCCGGCTCTTAAGAACTCTCGATGGAGCTGGCGAACTGGAGGCCGACAGCATGAAGAAGGCAGTCAGTTCTATCTACTCATTAACTCACGGTGTTTCAAAGGCTCTCAGACAAACAAGCATGCGATGACTGCTTAGATTTCTAGCTGCTCGACATGTGACCATCTTGAGGCTTAACAAGAGGGAGATCTGGGGTCTCCTGGCAACTCTGGCAGACTTGTGCTGTCTAGACTGAGGGGTGACACGGTGGGGTGCTCACATTTCTGTATTTGCTCATGTTGTTTACTGTTTATTTTGTTCATTGTCCGATGTGTTCATTGGTCACTGACTGCATTTTGGAAGGCATTCATGGACACAAGGATGAACAACCATTGTCCTGTGCCTGGAAAACTTTATGAACCATCCAAGAAGAGGAGCAAGGCAAGGGTGTCACTCTCACCAGTCCTGCTCTTCAGCACAGCACTCAGAGATTTAGCCAGAGCAATCAGGCAAGAGACATAAATAAAAGGGTACATATAGGAAAGGAAGGCTTCAAACTATCCTTATCCACAGATGACATGATCTTCGTGTAGAAGACCCAAAAAACTCTGGGAAAAGACTCTTAAAGCAATAAATTTAGCAAAGTAGCAGGTTACAAAAATCAAGGTGTTCCTGTACACCAAAATGAACTCACTGGGAGAGACAGCAGGAAAATAATCCTATTCACAATAGCTTAAAAAATTAAGCATCTAAGAACTAACCTAACCAGGGATGTAAAAGACCTCTATAATGAGAGCTGTGGTACTCTCGAAAGAGACTGCATAAAGAAAGACAGCTTCCATTCCTGGATAGGCAGAACCAATATTGCCAAAATGGCCATATTGCAAAAACAAACAAACAAACAAACAAACAAAAAAGATACATAGATTTAATTCAGTACCAATAGCATTCCTCACAGAACTAGAAAAATGTCACCCTAAAATTCATTTGGAACCAGAAGAAACTCAGAATAGCAAAAGCAATCCTGAACAAGAGCAAGGCAGTAGGCATCACAATCCCAGATTTCAAATTATGTTACAAAGGTACAGTTATATAAACAGCATGACACTGGCATAGAAACAGACCTGTGGGTCTGTGGAATGGCGCGGAGGAGGTAGAAACAACCCAGGGACACTCAGCCATCTGACCAGGGTCCAAACGCATGCTGGGGGAAAGACAGCCTCTTTAACAAATGGTACTGGGGAAACTGGATGCCCACATGCAGAATGAATCTAGATCTATGTTTCTCCCCATTACTAAAAAGAAATCAAAATGTATTAAAGACCTAGAAATAAAAACAGAAACACTGAATTTTTCTGGAAGATAAAACAAAGCAAAACTTCTGACAATTATAGGGATAGGGAAGCTCATTCTGAGCAGAGCCCCGAAAATGCACAAGAAATAACAATCAACAAAAGGGGTCGTATCAAAGGAAAAAGTTCTGTATGATAAAGGAAACCACCAACAGAGCGAAGAGAAAACCAACAGAATAGGAAAGTTTTTCTCCAGCTACTTCTTGGACAGAATATCTATAATATAAGAAGAACTCAGAAATTAGCCCCCCCCCATTAAAGACTGGATAAAAAGTGGGCATTTGAGGGCCAGGGATTTAGCTCAGTGGTTCCACAGCCTGCTTTGCAAGCACGTGGTCCTGAGTTCGATCCTCAGTACAAAAGGGGGGGGTGGGCAATTGAGATGAATAAACACCTCTCAGAAGAAGTATGAATGGCCAACAGGCACATGAAAATATCTTCAGCATCTTTGGCCATTAGAGAAATGTGAATTGAAACAACACCAAGAATCCATCTTACTCCAGAAAGAATGGCTGTCACCAAGAAATCAAATAACAACAAACACTGGCGAGATTGTGAGACAAATGAAGCCCTTCTGCATTGCTGGTGGGAATGTAAGATAGGACGACCACTATGGAAATCAGCGTGGAGACTTCTTAAAAATTAATAACTGAAATTCCACTTGACACAACTATACTTTTTTTTTCAGCTTTAATTGAGTTTATTGGTACATTTTAGGGATACAGTACAGTTACATTCATTGTGGCACAACTGTACTTTTTCTGGGTAGCTTCTTGAAAGAGTTAAAGTCATGATATCACAATGATCCATGCATACCCATGTTTATAGCAGCTCAACTCATAATAGCTAAATCTTGGAAGTAGCTTATGTGCTCATCAACAGATGAATGGATAAAGAAAATGTGCTATATATACATACAATGGAGTACTGCTCAGTCATAAAGAAGGACAAATTAGAATCAGTGGTAAGAAAATGATGCACCTTGAGTCCATAATACTAAATGAAATAAATAAGACACAGAGGGTTAAATATTGCATGACTTCTCTTACATAAGAAGCCCAATGTATAAATAATTTAAAGAGCAAAATAAAGAAGATAGGTAACAAAGAGGTAGATTCTATAGAGATGGGAAGGGGACCTGGGGAGGGGACAGACAGGAGGGAGGAGCAGGAAGGGTAATTAAAAAGATGGAGATTCGATATGCATTATGTACCAACTCCTCATGCTGTTTGTATTTCCTATGTATCACAAGCATATACTAATCTTACAAAAAGGAATAAGTGATTATAGCACAGTGTGCACGGGCTATGCAGGAAGAAAAGCTGATTTCTACCATGGACGTGGGGCACAGGGATGAGGGAGGCACCATAGAGGAGTCATTTGAGCTGTACTGTGTTTTTGTTTTTGTTGTTTTGAGACAGTCTTGCTATGTGATCCAGGCTAGCCTTGAACTTGTGACCCTACTTTCTCAGCCTCCCATGTGTAGGTTTACAGGTGCACCTCCATACCAGGCTGAAGCTGTAATCTAAAGAAAGCATCGTGCTAGGTAGAGAGGATGGGGAAGGGCATCCCTGCAGCAGAAGCAGCCTCTGTGTTCCTGGAAGCCTTTTAGTGCAACGCTTCCCAAACTGTGGTTCCTCCACAGTAGCACAGGTTGATCATATATGCTGGCTCCTGGGCTACCTCACAGACCTACTGAACCCACACCTCCATGTTTGGGGCTCAGGAATCTGTCATGTGAAACAAACTTCACTGTTGAAATAAAAATTTAAGCTTCTAGTTCTACTAATTTCATCTTTATAAAAACGATAATCCCAGCACTCAGGAGGCTGAGGAAGAAGATTTGGCATTATGAGTTTGAGCCCATCTTAAAGTACATAGCAAGATTCTGTCAAAAAGAAAGAAAGAAAGGAAGAAAGAAAGAAAGAAAGAAAGAAAGAAAGAAAGAAAGAAAGACAGAAAGAAAGACAGAAAGAAAGAAAGAAAAGGTCCCAGCCTTATTTTTGTAAATATAAAATTTGTATATATGTTCTGGGTTTCACAGTGTGGATAAAACTCTTTTACTTTGGATAATATTGAGGGTTGTGTTTTTGTGCTTTTTCGACAGAAATATTTTGTACTTCTGCAGAAACAGATGAATAAACCGAAGAATACTATCAAGAGAAGACACAACTCAGTCAACTTTGTAGCACTTTCCAGGGTGCGTTGTGTTGAATGTGTGCCAGGCACTGTTGTAATACTTTCCCTAAAACTTTTTTTTTTTTTTTTTTTTTTTTTTATCAGGACCTTGCGCTTGTGAGGCAGGCACAGTGCCACTGAGCTAAATCCCCAGCCCCTTCCTAAAACTTTTCAAACCTTCCTAACAGCTACATGGCCTTGGGGCGTGAGCCAGGCAGTCTGGATCCAGGTCTACGGGCTTCCCCTCAAGCAGTGCCGCTCCTAACACTGTTTCCACTGCCCCATACCAAGTTCCACAGAATGCGCTCTTTCATAAAACATGAGAAGCAACGGTTCACCTTGTTCCTCCACTTTCATCTGAAAGACTGGGCTCTCTCAAAGTTGTCTGAGCAACCTCGCACAGTGGGTGTCATCTCATCTCTGCTTCACCTTCTCAGATCCCCAAGGACCACCAAGCCCAGCCGGAAGGGCCTTGACTCTCCTCAAACCTCCCCTCCTCATCTCACTCTGAGGTGGCAGGCAAAGCCGTCAGTCCACTCTCACTCCATCCGGCCAAGAAGGTGGAGCCCACACCAGGCCTCGACTGTCCTGGGGGCCATAGTGGTGCAGCAACCAAGAACCCGCCCTCCAATATAGGCAGACAGATAACAGCAATAAGGATAGAAACAAAACCCGACAGTGCTCTCCAGAAAATAAGGCAAATAATAAAGAGGTGACAAAGACAACTAAGGCCGAGTTGGCTGCAGACCCCACATCCTCACCATGCAGGCTCTTCCTGCAGCTGCCTTTGTTGCTGCTGATAACACGCAGGTGTGTGTCAGGCCTATGGCAGGAGAAGGGCACAGAGATACAAGCCTTGTACTCACTTGGCACCGCTGCAAACAGCCTGTCAGCGGCAGAGCTCCAGAAAGATGGTTGGAGATGTGGTTCAAGCTGCTTCCAAATTAGGGTTTCCCTGTCCTCCTCTGCTCCCTGCTCCTTCCCAGTGACAGCTCTGTACACACACCTCCCTCTCCTCAGAGCTGGCTCCTGGATGGCCGACCTGCAACAGCTGCATTCAGGACTAACCCTCAGAAACCACTGGAAAATGTCATTGTGGAGCTGGGGCTTCCTCCACCAGAATGCACGCTCCCAATTGCTGGTGGCAGGAGGGTCTCTGTCAGTGGCTAGCAGCACTATTTAAAACTCTAGGCAATAGTCGAGAGGGTTCGCTGTGCAAGGGAACAAGCAGGCTGCAGTTCTGTAGCTTTTTTTTTTTTTTTTTTTTTTTTGGTACCGAGGATTGAACTCGGGACCTTACACTTGTGAGGCAGGCAGTGGAACCACTGAGCTAAATCCCTGACCCTAGGTGCTGTATCTGACACCTGAAGTGCTCATGCAGGTCACAGGCAATGGTAAAGACGTATCCAATATGGACTGTGGAAACCCATGGTACTGCTGGAGCCTTCACGGACCTGGAGGAAGAGAACTATCCCCAATTTAAGGCTAAGGTCTGAAAAGTCTGAGGGTTTCCTGGGTGACACAGCCAAAGAGCAGAAAGAGCTGGAAATCTGGCCAGGGACTAAGCTCTAAAGAAGCAGAGCTCCAGAGATTGAGCGGTCAATGAGGCAAGCTGGATTGCCAAAGTCATGGCCCTGGTTAGGAGGAAATGGGACCCTGGCACTGGGGGTAAAGATGCCTGAGGTACCTCATTAAGAAGCATGAGAAGCCCCTGAATACTCGGGTGTCCGTTTTAAAGATGAATGCTTTTTTCTTGAGGACCATACAGAGGTCACTGCCTTGTGAAAGCACCTATCCCCTCCGGTTCTCTGCCCCCACTCTGGCCAGCAGAGATTTATGTTCAAGCAGTAAAGTAGGAGGGAGGAGCCTTTGTGCAGGTGTGGAGCAGGTGGGCCTCTGGCTGCACCTGGGGCTGGGCTCAGGTGATAGAAATTTAGTTCATGGCCAATGCACAGTGGAGGGAGTCAGTGAAAGTGACAGGTGCCATGGGCTGCAGAGGGGGAGCAAGAGCCAGGGACGCTAAGCTGCTGCAGATGGAAGGCACAGTCTTGAGGTCAGGGGCACTGATCACAGAGATTTCAGAAGGGGCAGCCCTTCTGGTGTGGGTGCAGGCGAGGGTGGGCTGCTCAGTGGGGTGTGGCAGGGTGTGCAACGGAGAGGGAAGGGGACACAGGCACCGCCAGGCATAGTGCAGGACGGTTGTCCGCAGTCACCGAATGGTGAGGGGAGGCAGAGAGGAAGCAGTGAGCCAGGTGCCAGGGCAGGGACCAGGAGGTGGACGGTGGACAGCAGCAGGGAGAGCTGTTGTGCTGTCTACCGTGTTACACTGTCACCCTTCATAGTGCCACAGCGGTCTGGGAAAGTGTGGCCTGCCTGCCTCGGCTTGATGGCTGCTCCAGGACTTGGAGCAACGTGTGAGAACTCAGAGAAGAGCCTGGCACCGACCTGCCTCAGGGTGCTCCACTGCAGCTTCCGGGGTCCAGGGTCCCGCCTTGACGTAGCCCCTCTTCTCCAGGGCGAAGACAAAGCCTCCATCTCCGATCACCACCTCTCCGGCGTTCAAGCGCTCTACGATGCCCTGCAGTTACAGGCAAAGGGGAAGAGGAGTGACTGGAGCTCTTAAAACAATTTTCTGTCTTCAGTATGTGTGCTAGTATATTTTTGAGAATTATGATTTCTGTAGAACTCCCTAAAAACATGCATGTTTTATACATAGCTCCCTGACAGAGCGTCCCTGTAAAGAAAATGTGTATACTCCTGTGCATGTGCTGGTGTTTTTCAAAACACATGAGTTTTAGCCTGGGCTGTAGTCCGGGGCGGGGCAAGGTCCTGGGTTGACCCCCAGCACCACAAAAGAGAAAAGAAAGGACTCGAAGAGTACTGTGGGAGAGTGATATGTTCGAAGAACCATTTTCTGAGAGATTAAACATTTGTTATAAAGCCTTAAATCTATACTTATGTCTTTTCTTTTTTCATTCAAAATTGTATCATTTAAAAACTTGTACAGATTTATGGACACAGTGTGACAATTCATTTCCTACACAAAACATGGAAATGATCAAATCAAGGTAATTAGCATATCATGTCCTTATATTTTTATCCTTTCTCTTTTATCATTTCTTTATATTGGGACCTTCAAACTCCTCTTGTCCAGTTCTTTAAAAAATACATAATAGCCAGGTGTGGTGGTGCACGCCTGTAATCCCAGCACTTGGAAGGCTGAGGCAGGAGGATTGTTGTGAGTTCGAGACCAGCCTGGGCTACACAGTGAGTTCCAGAATACATAGTGAGACCCTGTCTCAAAAAACAAACAAACAAACAAAAAACCCAAAAAACCAAAACCCCCCAAAAAACCAACAAAAAAAAAATCCATAATAAGTTGATGTCAATTATAGTTGCCCCACTAAATCCCACTTTTCTTTCTGGCATTTTGGGGTTCAAAGCCAGGGCCTCATGCATGCTAGGCAAGTGCAGCACTGATAAGCTGTGCCCCCAGCCCTGAAGCGCAGAACTCATTGTTTTTCTTTTCTTTTAAATTTTTGTTTATTCTTTCTTTTTCTTTTTTGTTTCTTTTTCTCCCCACTTTTAAAGCACACATTCTTAAAATTGTGATTGCTAGCCTTCTTACTGTAGAGGATCACAACTATTTTAAAGTGGAATATAATGTTATTAAGGCATTTTAAAGACTAAAAAGTCGCAAGAGCCTTGGTAAAGATGGATGAAAGCGATTCTAGCAAAAGGTGGTCAAATTATGTATAAGATCTCTCTCTTTGGCATCAGGGCCACATGTCCTCACCGGCCATGGTGTTGTAGGTTTATGGCATTGATACTTTACACTTGCGAAGAGCAGGAAAGAGACAAGGAGAATATTTATACAACTTCCTGCCCAGGCTTCATACCTATTCCATTGACCATACTAGGTGAGAATCACTCTGGTGGTAATGTTCGAGATGGGTTTGGAATAGATTTTATTTTATTTTTTGGTACCAGGGATTGAACTTGTAACCTTGCACTTGCAAGGCAGGTGGCGGTGCCACTGAGCTAAATTCCCGCCCTAGTATAGAATATTTTAAAGGGGGTTTTACAGATTAGAAAGGAATTCATTAATGTGACTATTTTTGTCATCTGAATCATAGACTTTAAAACAAAAGGTACTCTACCTTCAATTTAGGTGTCTCTCTCTGCTTTTGAAAATGAAAACTCAAAGCCCAGAGACCTTGAGTAATTTGTACAAGGTCTCTCACACTAAAAGAGCCTTCCTGGCACACCTGTAACCCCAGCACTCAGGAAGCTGAGTCAGGAGGATTGCTGTAAGTGGACTACATCACTGAGTTGAAGGGCAGCCTGAACTACATAGGGAGACCCTGTCTCAAAAAACCAAGCCAAACATCCCTCCCCCAAACCCAGACTTTCATCCTTAAGAAGCATCTAGACTGATTTTATGCAGCAACAGAAGACGGTAGAACCACCCTGAACAAAACACAGAATGTAAAGGAAAAATCAGTTTTGTTCCTTTTACTCCCAAGACTGGCAGACACACCAAGTACTCAGATAAGAAGGGCTGCACACAACTGAGCAAGACATTCATGAGATTTTGTACCCAATTCTTCTCTGCCTTCTCCAAGAGCCCTCATGTAAACCCACTTCCTCCTATCCCACACCACACGGGCAGCGTGCTCACAAGGAAGAGACAACTGACATGCTCAGAGCACTTGTAAGATGGATGCTTCTAAATCGACAAATTACGTAGACTCACTCAATATATATATATATATATTTTGTACTGGGGATCGAACTTGGGACATTGCGCTTTTGAGGCAGGTAGTAGAACCTCTGAGCTAAATCCTTGGCCCACTCAATGTAATTTTGAAAACCAAATATTTGTCATGATTATAAATCACATGCCACATCCCCAAACTACAACTTTAGTCATTATGACCCAATTAACCAAGAGTCTATCTGTATCTATATGAACTCCTACCAATACAGTTATATAAAAATGTGAACAAAGGTCACATAAATTATGTTCATTTGGGTGAAGTAGTTTATGACATCCTGGCAGTTAGCAGTTCTTGTTGAACATATATGTGCTTTCAAACTTTAGTACCACATTGTAACACAGCCTAGCTAAGAATCTGAGATTTGGTGGCTGGGTGGGTAGGGGCTATTCAATAACCATGCTGAACACACGTCTGTTGAGCAATGACACCTGAATATACTAGCTCTTAGAATGTACTACATTTTAAAATGACAACACAGCACAACTGGAAAAAATACAACACAGCACAATTACTTGAATGTCAGACTTATCTGTTCTTATGCTGAACAGATTTTTTAAAAAGTGGAATATGTTATAAAAATATAACTGCCATCATTCTTCAGCCCGGCTCCTGCCGAGCAACCACCACCCCGTCCTTTCTCAAGCCTTGTCCCTGGTAGCCACAACTCCTTTCCACTGAACTCTCCCCTCAGAAATCCCGTTTTGACCTTTTCCTTTCTGCCCCTCTTGTTATAAAAGACCTCATAGCCTGTAGGAGAGCTGCCAGCTGAAGTGTAGCACAGCGGTCTCTCTCAGGTTTGTTCTGAACTACACTGGTCCGGTTCTCCTACCTTGGTTTTTTCCTAACAGAGCCCAGCCTGGGCAGCTTTGCAAGATCTTGTCTCAGAAAGTAACAAACAAATAAAGGGCTGGCAATGTGGCTCAGTGTGAAGGCCCTGGGCTCAATTCCCCGTAACAACAATGACAAAAATCCCTGACTACGTGGATGGAGCCAAATCAAGAAAACACTGAATTCAGACTTCGCCGGAGACCACTCCTGTCCCACCTACGCGGACTATGCATTCTGTCCATTCCTGGATTGGCAGTGATTTTTGGCTCTTTGCAGTGGGGTCCTGTAGCCATCACCCACCACCCACACGCACCCCCCGTGGGGTCGGCCCTTGCCCTAGGTGTCCGGATCATCCTTTTTTCCGGCAGGGCAGGTCCCGGGCAGCCTCCTTCATCCCTCGTTCAGTCCCGGAAGGGACGGCTCCTCCCGTCGCTGCCCCTCCGCGGGATACTGAGGCCCTGCTCCTTTTTTCGGAAACTGTTCCTGGCTCCCCGAAACTCACCTTCCGAGCCTTCTTGCCCGCAACGGGTGCCATGGGCTCCGGGAGGCGGCGCGAAGTGGAAGGAGCGGACCAGACCGGTGGTTCTGCTGCGAGCCCTGGGCGCAGAGTGCTTTATCCCAAGCCGGGTGGGGCGGCTGCCGGGGAGGAGGCGGACCGCCCCGAGGGTGGGACGCAGGGGCAGGGAGTGATAAAAACAATAATGATAACAACAACAACAATAACGATGGTGCTGGTGCCGTCCGTCCCTGCTCCCGCGTGGTTCCCAACCCTGACCTCTCGCTGCTTTCGGATCAGACAGCATGAGCCACTGCAGCCCCGGGGAGAGGCCCCCAAGAGTTCGGCCGGGGGGCCCAAATACTTGTCCAAGATGAAGGAAGTTTCGAGATTACGGAACGAGAGAGAGCTGTGCAGGACGAACTTCTTCCGCAGGGTGATCTCCTGAGGATAGGGGTCCCGTGTCGCGCACACACAAGTGCACAGCAGCCAGAACGCGTGCAAACAGCACTGGCGGAAAAGCCCAACATCCACCCTGAATAGGCTCAAAATGTCCTTGCCTTGCATCCCAACATGCCCTGTGGTTTCTGGTAACACAGAAGTTTCTGGTAAGAATATCTTTGCAGTATTTAACAGGACCAGACTTCTAACATAACGTGAAAGTGAAAAGTACTTCGGAGACTTCAAAATTCAGTATGAAAACTGTATGCTTAACATAAACATGAGAACTGGGAGGAAATGCAAAGGTCAATTGGAATTACCTGTTGATAGAATGAGTGCTTGTTTTTATCTTATTCTTCCTGTTTCTGCTGCATTTCCCAAGGTATTTTTACACTGAGAACATTGATTTCAGAATAATGAAAACATTAAAAAATGTACATAACCTACCCAACGATATAAAATCTGAGACAAAGTTCAGAACCTTTCGCCCAAGTAAAAACACGGAAGGAAATTCTATATGTGAAACAATAACTTCTTTTTAAACATACACAGAGAAATAAATTACCATAGCAAACAGTGGAGTAATAAAAATGCATTTGCTGAAATGATGTGTGCTTGAGATAAAACTGAGAAAGTAGCCATGTGTGGTGGCACATGCCTGTGATCCCATAACTCTGGAGGCTGAGGCAGGAGGATCACCATGAGTTCAAGGCCAGTCTGGGCTACATAACAAATTCAAGGCCAGCCTGAAATATACAGCAAGACCTTGTCTCAAAACTCCAAAGTCAAAACCAAAACAACAACTATTAACCCCAAGAAAATAAAATCCCTTTGCTTCCAATCAATATAAAAGAAAGGGGGGCAGAACAAAAGGCTATATTGTAATTCACATAATCTTTTACCTGCTCCTGCATTCTCTGCTCATTACAGATAGCAAGGCTGGGATGGGGTAATGCCGTCTTTCACGTTACTAGATTTTTGACAATTAGGTCATTATCTGAGTAGGTAATATAGCTAATTAATGTATTTACTAGGTCTGGTATTAACCTGCAGAATATTGGTGAAAGGGACAGGCTCAGAGTGACTCCCTGTGTGGAGGCAACCAGCTGTGGTGGTGGGCAGCAGGCACCAGAGGGCGCCAGCAGGGCTCAAATAGTGACTAAAGCCTAAAAGCTCACAGCCAGTTTCACAGGTTCGTTCAAATTCAGCGAAAGTTAGATTTGAAACTAGTAGCCCTCAAAAGTGAATTATGAAGTTTTAGTAGGTAATGTGGACACATGGCAAAAATTTTTTAAAAAATCCTTCCCAGCTGCTGTTGCTGTTCAAGGCCCTTCCCTAGAAATAATTAGTACTACTCATCCGTTCTGCTTGCAAAGGAACTCAAGACGCCTAAGTGCATGCAAGTATATTTAAAACTTGTGAGGGCTGGTAATGTAGCTCAGTGATAGAGCGTTTGCCTAGTATACTTGAAGCCCTGGGTTCAATCTCCAGCACTGGAAAAAAAAAGTATTTGAACGTGGTAGTAAATTTTAGGTATAAGGGAAAAATGTGTTTGAATATAGGAAACTTTAGCTATTAAACTCTTACCCACCCCCACCTTTTCTAAAATGATTTATATAGCTGGGCACAGAGATGCAACCTGCAACCCTAGCACTCAGGAGGCTGAGGCAGGAGACTCACCAACGAATTTGAGGCCATAGTGAGTTCAAGGCCTGTCTGAACTACATAGTGAGACCCTGTCTCAAAAAAGAAAAAAAATGACTTATAGGCAGCTGTGGAGATGTCTCTGTTTTCCTTAAGCTCTCCATTTGTTGTCCTTAATGTCCCCTCATGAATTAGGCCCATTAAAAAAATGACCACTCACCTACTATGTCCATGATAGTAATACCATAGTTCAGAGTGCTTGTCACATGCCAGGCACTATCTATGCCTTCTCCGTACACAATACTGGCCATGACTCTATGAGATATGAACCACCCCCCTTGTACTTAAGAAGAGTGAAGACAGGCACTTGGGAGCTCCTGTCAGCAAGCACTCTCCTGTTCTTTTGCCACAGGCCCCAGGAAGTCAAATGGCCTAGACACCACTCGGTGTCTGAGTTCTTTGCTCCCTGTTTGGCTGCAAGATGAGCAGGACCACTGTCATCCTCGCTGCACACAAAGATATTCAGGGTTACAGATAAACAGGGAAGGAAGAGGGAGGGTCAGACATGGAGAACCACCCTACTCTGACTCCAGCTTGCCCGTTGCTCCTCTTAGACCACGAGAAACGCAGGAGCGTTAATGTCATGTTTCAGACCACCGCACCTGGCGCTGCGGTGAAGGACTCACCATCGTTTTTTCTCCCACCCAGGAGATGGACATCATCTCACATAAGGACCAAGATGGCCCTTCGGCCAATGCGTACAGCAGGTGGGGAAATGTCAGGACTTCCCACATTCACCCCTGGGGATCTCCCTTAAATGGGAACGCACCCTGGAGCTGGAGCTCAGGGGTTGAGCGCCGCCATCCCAGCACCCCAGACACAAATGAGTGGAAACGGAGCTGGCCTCTCACAGATCTTTTTAGACTTTTTAAAAAGTGTGTCATTTGGCCTTACATATTGAAGATGGCCAGATGTAACACTGTGTTTAATGTTTTCTGTTTTAACACTGTGGAGCAGTGTTTGCAAACAGGTAATGTGTTGTTGCCAACCTCTGTGTTTCCCTTGGCAAAACCGGTGTTTTTGAAAATTGAGTGTAAATCCCATTATGTGGCACCTTCTCCTTCCCACTCTCCGAGCACCCTGTGCTCTTCTGGGCACATGTTCACCTTCAGCTTTCATCTTCTTCTGCTGTAAGTGAAAGTTTTGTTTGAGCTCATCAAACACCCATTCATCCAAACAGTCCCCAGAGGGAAGGTCCTCCTTGCCTTCTGTTTGCCTGCTGTCACTAACTGCAGTTACTTTTTGTTGCTACTACTAGGATCACCACACGTGTGGTGGGGTGGATTTTCCTTTGAAAACTCTTCCCCGGATACACAGCTTTTCTCATTTCTTCCTCACATCTGTGCATTGTGATGGCCACACTCAAACATCTACTCCAATGCACCGGGCATGTCGGGCACATCACGGATGTGCCCGTCTGGGGAGGGCCTTGGTGGTTTGATTTGGTTTGTTTTCCTGTACTGGACATGTGGTTCCCAAACCAAGGAAACTTAGATGTGATCACCTTGCTCAGGAGCTTGCATTTAATAGGAAACTCAGTACTAGATTGGAATCACATTCTCTTGTACACACACACACACCACTACAGTTTTCTCATTTCCTAGTTTGCTGCACCTTAAGAGGATTCTGTGAGGGCATTTAGCTGATGAAGAAAGTTTAGTCCACATAAAGCATTTCTGGAACATTTTAGGATATACCAGATTATTTTCAGTAACAAAGTCCTCTTTGCTTGGCTGAGAAAAGTAGTAGCACATTTCTGAGTAGCAAAACTGTCATTGCCCACTCTCTTCTGGACCTGAAGAATATAGGGAAATATATTTTTCAAGTTAGTACAGGTACATAATAAAAACTCTCAACAGTAAAAAAGGGTATACATTAAACACCACTCAGTTTCAACTTTTTGGATTTGTAATCTATCCATCTTAAAGAATTTCTGAAAGAAATTGCTACTTCTCAAATCCAGCTTTCAGTGGTGCCCTGCACATGTACTGGAATATTTAGAATGAAAGGTATACCCAGGCATGATGACACATGCTTGTGATCACAGCACTCTGGAGGCTGAGGCAGGAGGGACTGCAAGTTTGAGCCCAGCCTGAACAGCTCAGCAACTTAAAGAAAACCTGTCTCAGAATTATAATATTGAAAAAGGTCTGGGAATGCAGCTCAGTTCAAAGGCCCTGGATTCAGTCTCCAGTTCCACAAAAGTAAAAATAAAATCAATAAAATGTTGAGGAGAATGGAACTGGAACTCTTATCACGGGTAGGAGTAAATGTTGATTAAGAAAAAAGTTTGGCAGTGTCTATTAGAGCTGCACATACCTGTACCAAGTAATTCCACTCCTGGGAGGAAACGTAACCAATGTCCCCTGAAAGATCCCTATAAGAATGTCCACTGTGGCTCACTGATAAATGGTGGCTGAAAGTGTGAGCTACGCAAACATCCACCAAGAAATTGGGTAGATAAACCATGACGGCAGTGCCATCTGTAGTGAGAATGCATGATTTATAGTTATATAATGTCAGTACTGTGGATGTCAACAGTGTGGATGAATCTTATAAACTTAGAACGAATAAAAGAAAATAGACGCAAAGGGGTCATTCTGTAAGGTTATATTTAAATGATGTACAAAAAGGGGGGCAATACTAAACTTAGCTCTTTGATGTCATAATAGTGATTATTCTAGGGAAGGAAGAGTGACAAGAAAGGAACAGGGCTGCTTTTGAGTGCTTGTAATGTTCATTGTTTGGTCATAGTACTGTGTACACACGAGTGTTCAGCTTATGAGCATTCATGAAGTTGTACACTTACAACTCATGTACTTTGAAAAATATTCTTTTCTAAATAGTCCAGTGAAAATATGAAAACAAAAATAAAAACACTATAAAATAGCTTCTTGGCCTTCTGTGGATTCCATAAAAAGCTCTAAAACTAAATAAATTACTTTGCTGGGCATGGTAGTGCATATCTGGAATC